TCAATGTCGAAACACCAGGACCGTTGCTCGAAAACTCGTGAAACGAGTAGAGGATTTGACTAACGACTCTTCGGCTTTGAAGCCAACCTTTGTCCCCCGACTTGCTCACTTGACCGGTTCAAATGGATTAATGGAATTAGCTCTCAAATTCGGAGTCCAACTTGCGCAGCAAGTCCGACTATACGTAATCGAGGTCAAGGAAAAGAAGGATGCCTTTAAACTCAGCCGGGTTCTTGCCAGCGTTCGCTCAAGTGCAGGGGAAATTAAATCCGGTGGGGGAACAGGTTCGTGGGAATCCGCAAGCGAGTTGCTTTCGCAGCTGCAAAGAGACGCCGCCGATGTGCAGAATTCCGCGGCGGAGTCTGATAGCGTGATGAAAAGTGGGTTTATTACACGAGGCTTTATACATGTTGACTTATTATTCGCTCTTATTAGTTTCCGGGGTGGCTCCATGGCTGGTTCGCGTGGAGGAGATCAAGGCTATGGCAGCTGTGAATGTAGATGCTGAACGCAAGATTACGCAACTAAACGAGGAGATGCAGGAGCTTGTTCGCGGCATCAAGAGCAGAGTAAGTCTCTTCCATTGTATCGCCCTCATTGTTAAGTCCGAAACCGGCTCCATTAATAATCCTAAAAAAAAATAGGATCAAAATATCAAGGAGACAGCGGTCAAGATTCAGCTCATGGAACGCCGTATGGAAGCCTCGAAGAAACAAGCCGATGTTCTTGCCGATCTTGAGGATCAGCTGTCCAAGGCGAAGAAGCAAGAAAAGGCGTATGCAGAAGCAATGGAGCAACTTCAGGTTGATTTAGATACACTTGAACAAGAGAAAAACCATCTAAAGCAGAGCCTCAACACGCCGGACCGCCAAGGTAAGCCCTATGCCCATGAATTCGTCCCTGAGGTTGTTGGCGGCGTGGCTAACCACTTGCTTAATCAGCTCTGGGCATGCCCCAAAACGTGGAATTCGAACTGTCTTCTCAAATTGAAGGAAATGTAGAGGCTTCACAACTGCTGGAACAAATCGAATCCTTGCGAGGCGCCGTGCGGTTCTTGAGAAGGGAGAATGGCTACCTCAAGGGACAAGAGATGCTGAAGGAGATCCAATCATTGCCCACACTGGGACCAGCTGGCATGGCGTTTGATGGGCCGACCATCCCGACAGAGGCCCCAGATATAGATGAAGACGGTGGGGTTGACGATGATCCTTCTACGGTGCAGACCTCGAGGCAGAGGAGCACAGCAATACAAGGGAGAAACAGTACCGCCGAGGTGGATGGAGAAACACTCGCGGGCGCCCGGAAAGAGGGGAAAGCCTCGCTGCAGTCGCTATCCAGGGATTCAAAATTGCTGTACCGAGAGTTATTGGAATATTCGGCATCTCCGAAACTCGTCGATTTGGAGGCATTGGAAAAGGAACGAAAAGCTGGATGGATGCCACACAAGAAAACCGCCGCGTACGAATTATGGGAGCGGAAACGGGAGGGCGACAGGCTAAGAAAGCAAGTAAAGGGACTGAGATTGCAAACCGCTCGACTTGTCAGTATTGGCGGTTGAAACGCGCCTCGTTGCAGAGGAGAGAGCCACGACAGGACGACAGCGCTATGTGGGGGTGTGTGCTGCGCGTTATTGATGGAAGTATCTCGACCATGAAGCACGATGAAATCGTACGGACCACTCTCTTCCTTTCTATTTTTCTTTGTAGGTGTGTGTGCGGGTCAGGCCTTGTTCGGCCTTTGCCTAGCGGTGACTCTATTCTAATTCGCCTCCCCTCATGTTTTGAGTCTTTTAATGTGTGTGTGTGTAGGATACTTTTATGTATGTCGTTCTTTGCATTCTCCACAGGAAGGCGTATGGCAAGAGAATGAAGTCTCATTGGCGATTGATGCGACACGGGGGGGATGTGTCTGTGTCTGAATGTGGACATTTGAGGTGTTAAACTTTTGAATAGAGCGTTGAGGCCGCTCGAATGTGTGCTTCCCATTCGTAGAATTGCTTGTCTAGGCCCATGCGATTTTACCGGATTCGGCGAGCCGAACATACTAAACCACCGATTTGACAAGAAGGGCCCGCATCGAGGGATCTGGATAGATGATGTCTGGGGAGGAGGTTAAACAAGATGAATAGCTATGAATTGATGGCGTTCTGCTCTTTCTGAGCGCGCATGGTCAAACGGTCAAACGCCATCACCCAGCGTGGCCCGTCGGGCGCATCTGATAGGTCCGGCAGAAAACGCACACCAAAGATGATGAAGGGTCTTAAAGGGGCTCTCAAGGGAACCCAGAGCTGGCATCGGACGCATGTACGATTGGTGTTGAAATTGGGTTACCCAGATGATGGGTTGGCTTGTACTAATCTGACGGGCGATATCATATGTTGCTTTGCTGGTAACATGCTATATCATCATACCTGATACCATGAACGGCAAATTTGACTCTGACCCGAAGAGTGTTCGCCTTCTTTGGCTGCCCACACCGTCATGGGCTTGCACCCCCCTCTCCCCGTTAGGACCGCCGTATTGGCTGTAGACGGTCGCCTTCCTGTCTTCGTTGCTTCCGCTGCTTCTTCTTTATCCCAATTCCCAATTTCCTGCGCTAAAATACTGGCACCCTTCAATGTGTCCTCAAACTCCCACCTCCCTGCCTAGATTATCGCGCTCCCTTTATCATACGGAATTCTCGCTACGGGGGAACAAGGAATCGGTGGATTGGTGTTGGTTCCACCGATCCGTCAACGCTGCGAAGGGAATTTGCAAGTGTCGAGCCCAATAATCATGTGAGCTTCTGCTTCTCTTTCATCTTGTTCGAGACGAGATGCATATGTTGTTCATCGTTTGTTGAAGGCGGAGTGAATGCGAGAAGCGGTCGTAGCCAGCAGTGGCCATGGCCAAATTCATCCAGAAAATGAACGACAACGATAACCGCATTGACCGCCAAAATCCAATAGTTCCCGTGAGATGCACGATGGGGTAGTTATTATGTGTCTATAGATGGGATTAGGGATATGTCTTGTGAACCCGCACAATGGACATGGATATGGATATCGCAAGCGGCGTTTGAGTAGGCCCGAGTGTTCGTAATAAGCATAAAAGTGGCTAGTGTAGACTAAAAGCCATTCACTGGCCGTCGTGGCACGCGCGATTGACAACGCAGGCCCGCTCCTAGCATCTCGCGTGCGGTTCATCCGCTGAACCGCTGCAGCCGTAATTTCCAGTAGCTAATGCGGATGGAGTATAACCAGGAGCGAGCCAGAAACAGTGAGCGAGCGCGCACGAGGCGCCTTATTGTTCTGCAACGATACCCAGTCCAGCGGACAGTAGTACACGCGGATACCGAAAAGCTGCAAAGCTCCTCTGATTTGAATTTGAGCTGTCCGATAGCAGCGACGATCCCTCTTGGGACTTTTTGACTAGCGGCCTATTTGTAAATTATTAAAATATTTATTATATATTTAATAATTATTTTCCCTCGTATTCTTTATGCCACGAAAACCCATTTTCATCTCAGAGATTGCCTTATAACGCCGCCTGGCTGGTCTCCTCCAGATCCAGCCATCTCCCCCTCCCTCCTCCGTCTTCATAGCTATCAAGACTGGACCCGACTCTCACTCCTACTGTTCTACACTCCATCTATGGCTACTCACGCTGCCCAAGCAGACCTCCTAGAGGCAATCCCCTTCGTCAGAGACATCACTCCTTTGGACCTACTGCAGCTGCCGCAAGGCTTATTCGAGGCTCTTCCAAAGCCTTGCAACTTGAAGAGATCCGCCGCATCTGGCGGTCCAATCTGGCCTCCAGTCCTCACCAATGTCCTCATCAACGGTAAGCGACTCGTTCTTTTCTTGTTCATTCGCGTGACAAGGGTGGCGGCTCTGATGCAAAACTGCCCTCGCTCGCCCTCATTCGCCCCCCTCCGCCCTCATTATCTCTCCTTTCTCGTACTCGTTGTTCATTTCTGCTCCCTCTAGGCCTCTTGATCCTCCACCACAAGCCTCACTTGGTCGGAAAGCAAGGCTTGGACGAACACTACAACTGGCTCTCGGCGTTCATTTACCGCCAAACGCGGGGATGGGATCCAAAGGCCCTAGCGCGCAACACGATTGAGATCAAACGCACCAATCCAGGTGAAAGGGTGTTTGGAATCATTCGCAACAGGAAACAAATCTCCTCCAAAGTTCAGACCATCGGTGAATATGTGAGTCTAACCTTAGTCTGACATCGCGCCGTCGTTTGAATGGGACTGTATTGACCCCCCCCCCCCCCCCTTCTTCTCCTTCTTTTTATACTATAATTCCCCATCAAACCCGCGCTTCATCCTGGACATTGATATCAATAACACGCATCTATCCTATCAAATTTGGACTACGTGATATGACAGCTCAAGGACACTCATTGTGAGCGGTTACTTTTTACCAAATTCGGCTAAGCCGATTATGTCGTCCTTTTCATTCTTACTAACACCTCCTCTCATTAATCTCCAGGGGCATATGTTACTCAAGGTCCCAAACCATCCAAAGACTTGCTCTCCCAGGTCCCGGGAATGGGCCTGCGCACTAACGACATTACGAACATCGATGCACCACACCATCATCATCAACAACAATACACGACGACGACGACTACAAGACCTTCAACCGCTAATAGCCATCCTTCTTTGATCGTCGCTCACCCCCATAAACAGTCTGCTCTTCCACTTGATCTTTCTCACATTTCCCTCGAACCGGCCTGGTTACCGCCCACTCCATTTTCTCTTCCATCAACGCCCACGAACCCATCATCGGCGTTCTTGTACCCAGCCGACATCCCCGACTTTGAATTCGTGGACGCCAGGGTTTTAGGGTACAACCCAGAAGACTGGCCCGAGTATGAGAGTCGATGGCTTCACGGCCCTAACGTGCCGCCTTCTTGCACCACCGCCAACAACAACAACACGAGCCTTCTACAGAGACGTCAACGAAGAGCTAGTTTTTCATTAGGACCGGATGCTTTTGCGCTTGGTTTGCATGGCCAACAACATTTCCATCATCATCATCCTCAACATCAGCCAGCGGCCACGCTTCCGAAAAGAACCGTATTGAAGCTCGCTTCTGCATCCGTCGCTGTCCAGTTCGGAGGAGGCAGCATACCACCAAAGAAAAAGGCTGGTGGCGTATCGCCCTCCCTCTTCAATACGCAACATCAATTGGCTCGGCTCGACCAAAGGAGTGCCGGTATCGATAATACGACCCTGGTGGCCGTATCCTCCATCGAGTTGGACGCTGCTTCTCAAGAACTTATAAAGCCATTTGCAGCAGGAACTCGAATTTATCACGTTGACCTCCCTGTCCACGTACCCTCTGCCCCATCCGACCGCGCATATCTCGCCCAAGGTGTCGGGTACGAGTTTCACATCAAGGCACGCGTCGAATTGCAATTAGGAGAGGGCATTTTCACCGATGAAGAGCTGAAATCGGTGTCTGATGTCTATTACAATTCAGCACTAGTAAATGCGCCTTCTCCCCAATTGCAACTGATGAATGGCTATCATGAGACTGTTCCGCTCCGGCTAGCAAACCGCCACGAAATAGACGGCAACGGTACATTGTCTCCTAGCTCATTGGTCGCGGATGGACTGGCGATTTCATTTATGACAAATCTATGGACGAATATGACCAAAAATCCCGAAGCTACCGATACTGGTGAGTCGATCTAACTACTTTAGTGTGGTTTGGCATTTGAGATTGGGCTAACGTGCTCCCTCCCACCTCCCTATTCCAATTCGATCTGACACGTACAGATCTCACGCGATACGTCATTGTCCAGACCATCCTCCCCCGCTCGGCCGCTGCAAGATCTCAAGACCCTCTGCTCGTCGTCGTATATTCACCTCGAGTATGCCACACGTCAGAGGAGGCATCTGCCAGAATGGTTATTCTGTCCGATAGCGCGAGGAGCAACAGCGGATCTCCCGTCCAGCACCACACCGATGGGATCGCCTCCTATGACCTTAGCGACACAGAGATGAACGCCACACCACGGCCTTCGATGTCTGCGTCTCTATCGTTGAGCCCCGTATTCGATCGTGTGTCGTCGATCAGCCCGGTGATCACCAAGAAGGCCAGGGAGTCGTCGTTTGACCAAAAGGGCAAAGGCAGGAGGAACTCGACCCTTCGCGAGTCCATTACCTCCTCTCCTTCCATCGTCGCGGGTACGACGGTGGCCAACCCCGCGGTCAATGTCTCTACTGGAACCGTAGGACCTATCAGGCGCGAGTCAAAGCAGCATGCTGCATCTTATTCGCCCTTCCCTACTGCTTCTGGCATGATGGCTCGTCGACACACCCACGGTGCGGCTGTTGGTACTCCCAAGGGTGCTTTGGGCTTTCCGGTAACGTCCAAGGTCGCCCCCACTACGACCACACCACCTCAAGTCGCCTCTGCCCTCGAACAGACGTCTGCCGACATTCTTGCAGGTGCCTCTGGCCAGACTGGTATGGTTTCTCTCTCT